TAACGCTCCACAGCCGGAGGGTTAAGAGAAGTAGAAAAGGAAAAGAGCAGGGAAGGTACGGGCCCCAAAGCCTAGGAATTGAAAAGAGAGCACCCAATCTATGATTTGGGCCTCGGTCCGAATCTTCCGAGCCAAGATAAGTAGGAGAAAAAAATCTCTTTACTCAGGATAGTGGAGAGAGATGCGTTTACAACGGCAGCAAGCCCTGCACCAAGAAGATGTCTCCTCTTCCCACCTGCTCCGTTCATTCCTTTACCTCTCACTCTAGCACCAGCAGCATTCGGACAAAACTCTGCCAAAGCCCGCGCTGCTGGAGGACAGAAAAGGAAAATACCTGAGTCCCAGGAACCACTCCGGCAGCGACAGGAGGAGGAGGAGCTGTGGACAACTGGAGCCTGGGTAAGATCCTCGGAAGCTGTGGTCAAACCCCAACTCTTTCGGGCGGGGCGGGGAACATCCGCCCGGAGCAGGGGTGGCGTCACTTCCGCCGAGGGGCTGCACCCCGCCTCGCCTGCTCCGCTCTAGCTGCGTTCGCTGCGTTCCGTGACTTCCTCTTCCAGGAGCCTTTTACCTCGAGCCCACTACTTAATATTTGACGTGGACTGCATAACCCAGCATTCGCCACAGAGGTTTTGTTTCCGGGTCAAGAGGTCTACGCTGGGTACATCACCATGGAAGCGATCGGTTTGGTCACGTGGTGCCCCTGGTTACGCCCGGCGGCAGCTGTGGGGGTCTGAGGCTCAGACGGGGGCCATTTTGCCAAACGCTGCCTCCCGGAGTCGGGGGCGGTCTGGCAGCTGGTTGAAGCTGTTTCTTTTCCTTCTCTGCAGCTTAAGGCTGAAGGAACTGAAAGGCTGGGCTCCATCGAGCCCCCGGGAGACGGCAATGGTTCCCTCCAGCCACCAGCACCTGACGACCCTCCATGGCGGCTGCGCCCTCCCCGCTGCTTCTGCTGCCGCCCCTGCCAGCCCTCAGTGCTTTTCGCCTCAAGAGCCACAGTCTTCCTGCCGCCCCAGAGACTGATGATAGTCGAGTTGGGGGCACTATGAAAGGAGAAAAAAATTACTGCCCTGGAGCTGCGGGAGACCACGCTTCCTGCCCCCCTACACCTTCGCCTCTGGCGTCAGCCCTCTTGATGCCGGCGGAGGCAGTCTCCAGCAGCTGGTCTGGGTCTGGAGGCGCTTTGTCGGGAGGAGATTCTGAAGAGGAGGCTCGGCTCCTTCAACTCCTCCGCACCGCTCCGGATCCTTCCGAAGCCTTCCAGGCTTTGCAGGCTGCTTTGCCGCGGCGTGGCGGTCGACTTGGCTTTCAACGACGCAAGGAAGCATTGTATCGGGCGCTGGGCCGAGTGCTTGTGGAAGGAGGTAGTGATGAGAAGCGACTCTGCTTGCAGCTTCTCTCGGATGTTCTCCGGGGTCAGGGGGAAGCAGGCCAGCTAGAAGAAGCCTTCAGCTTAGCTCTTCTGCCTCAACTGGTTATTTCCTTACGAGAAGAGAACGCAGCCCTGCGGAAAGATGCGCTGCAGATCCTGCACGTATGTCTGAAACGTAGTTCTGGACAGGTGCTGAGAACGCTTATCCAGCAAGGACTGGAAAGTACCGATGCCCGGCTTAGAGCTTCCACAGCACTCCTCCTCCCTATCTTGCTTACTCCTAAGGATTTGTTGCTCGGCTTGGATCTCACCGAGGTAATAATATCCCTAGCCCGCAAGCTTGGTGATCAGGAGACAGAAGAAGAATCTGAGACAGCTTTCTCTGCACTTCAACAAATCGGGGAGCGACTTGGCCAAGACAGGTTTCAGTCCTACATCTCTCGCTTGCCCTCTGCCCTGAGAAGACACTACAATCGCCGCCTGGAGTCCCAGTTTGAAAGTCAAGTTCCGTATTATTTGGAACTTGAAGCCTCTGGATTTCCTGAAGATCCCCTTCCTTGTGCGGTGACTTTTTCCAATAGCAATCTTAAATTTGGGATTATTCCTCAGGAGCTGCATTCAAGATTGTTGGATCAGGAAGACTATAAGAACCGGACGCAGGCCGTAGAAGAACTAAAGCAGGTGCTGGGAAAATTTAACCCTGGTTCTACCCCCCATTCTAGTCTTGTTGGTTTCATTAGCTTTCTATATAATTTGTTAGACGATTCTAACTTCAAAGTGGTCCATGGCACACTTCAGGTCCTGCATTTACTAGTTATTCGCCTTGGAGAGCAGGTACAACCATTTTTGGGACCACTTATAGCAGCTTCTGTCAAAGTTCTGGCAGACAATAAGTTGGTCATCAAACAAGAGTACATGAAAATCTTCCTAAAGCTAATGAAGGAAGTAGGTCCTCAACAGGTGCTTTGTTTACTCCTGGAGCATCTCAAACATAAGCACTCCAGAGTAAGAGAAGAAGTGGTGAACATTTGCATCTGCTCCCTGCTGACCTATCCCAGTGAAGATTTTGACTTACCCAAACTGTCTTTTGATCTTGCTCCAGCTCTTGTAGATAGCAAACGCAGGGTACGCCAAGCAGCTCTAGAAGCTTTTGCTGTCTTGGCATCATCCTTAGGCTCAGGTAAAACTAGCATCCTTTTCAAAGCTGTGGATACTGTTGAACTTCAAGATAATGGAGATGGAGTGATGAATGCTGTACAGGCCAGGTTGGCTAGGAAAACCCTACCAAGGCTAACAGAGCAGGGATTTGTGGAATATGCAATACTCATGCCATCTTCTGCCCAGGGTAGGTCAAGCCATTTAGCACATGGAGCAGACACAGACTGGCTTTTGGCTGGTAACAGAACTCAGAGTGCCCACTGTCACTGTGGTGACTACACGAGGGATAGCATGCAAATTTATGGATCTTACAGTCCAACTCTATGTACCCGAAGGGTATTAAGCGCAGGAAAAAGGAAAAATAAATTACCATGGGAAAGTGAGCAGCCTGGAATCATGGGAGAAAACCAGACCTCTAATTCCAAAGATACAGAGCAGGTATGCTTCTTTTATTTTCTTGATTAACACTGAAAGAATTGAAAATAAAAATATTCTTGTGGTAACTTAAGGATCAGACTGCATGATGAGGTTATGCTTTGTTTCCAGTCGAATTGAGTGCTGCTGTGGGTATTCATTATAATGGAACTGGTCACATATAACCACCTAATAGGCTTCTTGATGGATGTCTTTGATTAGGTTTAAGGCACAGTGTGAAAGAGACAATATTTGGATTTCAGTTTGAGTTTGTCACTTTGGCATGTCAGTTCATACCAGAAACACTGAATGACTTTACTAGGTGCCTGGTAAAGAGCTGAGTTCTGGAAATACACTTCCACATAGTACAGGGGAAAGGTCAGACCTATGAACTGGCAGTTAGCAAATTTGTTAAGTACTAAAATAGAAATGTAAGTAGAGACCATTGGGAATAATGAAGACATAAAAAAATAATTCTGCTATCTTTCTCATCTTTAGTCCATATTGAATCTCCCTCTGTCACAATAAAATCCTGGTTTCCCAGTAGCAGTCATATTTATTCATATACTGTGTCTTACAATACACACAAAAAATTCCTAGACCAATAACATAATAAAGTTCAATATTTCTTTACAAACTCCTTTTGTATTAGAATTATTTGGAGTTCTGCATTCAAACTTTTCTTAATCTTTTTGACTGAATGATTATTCAGGCGAAGTGTGGATGGCATGTTCAGAAACACAGAAGATTAATAAGAGAATGGGGAGTTGGGGTGGTGCCTGTGGCTCAAAGCAGTAGGGCCCCAGCTCCGTATGCCAGAGGTGGCGGGTTCAAACCCAGCTCCTGACCAAAAACTGCAAAATACATAAATAAATATAAAAAATTGCAAAGTGAAAATAAAAGCTTTAAAAAAGAGAGAGAATGGGGAGTTTTTGCACAGTTGACACAAGAGGTCTAGTGGGAAGTAGCAGATGATAATATCGGAGATGTAGGTAAGAGTAAAGTATGAAGGTCCTATTTTGCAAATAGTAAGTTGAGGCTTTGTAATAGTTTTGAATTGGATGGAGGTGAAATAAGTGTTCTGTGTTGGTTCCTTTTAGTTCCAAAATTTGTAGGGGTTTTTATTATGATTTTAAGATTTATGATCTGGTTATATGGTTATTTTCATGTATTATAAACATTACCTGGCAGTAAATGATTTTCTGTAAGCATTGCTCTTGAGGCTTCCTTTTACTCATCATGTCTTAAGATGTATGTAGTATTAAGATTCTTGGCCAAGGATGGTGGCACATGCCTGTCATCCTAGCACTTTGGGAGGCTGAAGCAGGAAGATCCCTTGAGCTCAGGAGTTGGAAACCAGCTAGGTCTTTGTCGTGGCAGGCATCTAGTCCCAGTTACTTGGGAGGCAGAGGAAGGAGGATGACTTGAACAGAGGAGTCTGAGTTTGCTGTAAGCTGAGCTGATGCCCTGGCACTCTAGCCTGGGCCTCTGCCTCAAAAAAAAAAAAAAAAGAAAAGAAAAAAGGAAACGATTCTGGTGCTGGCCAGAGTAGCAACAAGAACCTGGAAATAAGTACATTTCTGAAATGCCAGCATAAACATATTTTGCTTTTGAAAGATGTTATGGTGAAATTAAAACTCAATTCAGAAATCAAGCTGTGATA